TCTGCAAAGGCACATTTTGCACATGAGGAAATGGGTGTTCAGAAAGTTTCAGCAACTTGCCTGAGATAGTCACATAATTCAGTCAGAGCTGAATTCAACTGTGTGACTCCGTAGTCCATACTTTTCATCTTACCGATTTGCCAAGAAACAACCCCAAAGAAAATCCTTTGGATGGAAATCCTTTAAGTTTAACTTAATAAAGATTGGGCCTATGGACCTGTGATGCATTCTTTGTCTACTCTGTCTTGTTCCTCCTTGTGCCAGAGGACACTTTGATGTTCTGGAAAGGAATAGCTGACGTAGGACTGATGGAAGAGGTCGTCTGCAATATACAAAAGGAAATAGAGGAGCTACTCAGGGGAGTTCAGCAGCGGCTCATCCAGGCACCATTCCAGGTGACAGGTAACTGAACTAATCTTAACAACATGGTCATTCATTGAATATTCACTGCTGTAGTCAGGTCCTGCTAGCCTCATGACAACTTGGACAGATAAGGAAATTAAGGTTCGTAAAAGTGAAGGGCCATACACACATTGAAAACTGGAATGATTCACGTGTGTTTGAGTACTCTGCTGTTCTGTGAGTTACAGGCTTTCAGAACTGTTGTGCACTCTTAAAGCTGTCTTTGGATACTTGAAGGATGCTTACTGCTGCAAAGGGTGTAAAAGGATGTTCTAATCATCTGATGTAAATCGAGTTACGATGAGACCACATAATGGCCATATACCATACACTTAAGCAACTCTCTTTTTAATTATTAAGAATGCATGCTTTGTTGTTGTTAGGTGCCATCAAGTGGGTTCAGCTCATAGCGACCTTATGCACAACAGAATGAAACACTGCCTGATCCTATACCATCCTCACAATTGTTTTGTTTGAGCCCATTGTTGCAGCCACTACGTCAGTCCATCTCGTGGAGAGCCTTCCTCTCTTTCACTTTCCCTTTACTTCACCAAGCATGATATCCTTCTCCTGGGACTGGTCTCTCCTGGTAACATGATCAAAGTATGCCATCCTTGCCTCTAAGGAGCATTTTGACTGTACTTCTCCCAAGACATCTGTTTGTTCTTTTGGAAGTCCATGGTACTTTTAGTATTCTTTGCCAGAACCATAGCTCAAATGCATCAATTTTCCTTTGGTGTTCTTTGTTCAATGTCCAACTTTGACATGCATACAAGGTAATTGAAGAGAGTAGACTAGTAAGGGGCTACTTTGGGCAGACACCTGAATTGATGAACTAGCCAAGTAACAAGCTGGAAGCAGGAACATTCTAGTCAGAGGGAACAAAGATCCTGAAGTGGGAATAAGCCTAGTGGGTCCCAGGGATTACATTCTGGTGCAGACACAGTAGGCTAAGCTATGGGGAAAGTGATAAGTAACATGGGAGAAGGGATGATACCCCGGAGCCTCGGCTATAACTTTAGGTTTTACTGTAAGCTGTCATAGTGATTATGAACAAAGGGAGTGGGGTAATCAGATTTATATTTTTCAAATATCACTTTGGTTTCTGTATGGAGAGTAGACTATCTGTGAGCAAGAGTGGAAACAGACTAGTCACAAACGTCTTGGAGGAATTAGTTTAGATGGTGGTGTCATTGATTGGCATGGTAGTGGTAGGTCCGGGAAGAAATGATTACTTTGAATATGTAACTAAAAGTCTTAACAACAGTAGATGTAAGGTAAAAGTGAAAGAAGGAAACCCAGGCAGCTTGTACATTTTTACCTAAGAAATGAATGATGATCCCATTAACTGAAATACAGACCACTGGTAGAGGAACAGGTTTAGAGGGGAAATCAAAGTTGGTTTTTACTTGTTAAATTAAGATGCCTATGAGGCCTTCAAAGGATTCCTGGTGATGCTGTTGGTAAGTGTTGAATGGCCAACTGCAAGGTCAACCTTTCAAACCCACCAGCTGCTCCTCAGGAGAAAGATGAGGATGACTACTCCCATAAAGATTTACAGCCTTAAGGAGCTGATACCAAGGGCTCAAGTAGAAAGCAAATGTTTTGAGAATGATGATGGCAACAAATGTACAAATGTGCTTGACACA